CATCCTCCCTGCAGGAAGTGGGCCTTACCAATTCGCCAAAAGACTAGTAGAATAAAAAGTCTGACCCTCTTTTCAGTAAAGGAGAATTTCTTCTACCTGTCCCCGACAGGGACATTGTGTTTTTCTTTTTCTTTTCTTGTCTTCAGACTTGAACTGAGACCACACGTCTGCTGCCCGGGGCTCCAGTTGGCCAACTCACCTGCAGATGTGGGGACTGGTCCGTCTCCATAATCACGGGAGACAATCCCTTAGGTCTCATCTCCAACACGTGCAGCTGCCTCCTTATGACAAATCAGTGTGTGCACAGATGTCCCTACCTTATGACAGGCTTATGTCCCAATAAACCCTTGGAGACTGAAAATACCTCAAATCAAATGCATTTAACCCAAACAGTGCGGCTTAGCCTCGTCTACCTCACAAGTGCTCTCAACCCGTCCATTAGCCCACAGTTGGGAAAAGTCACCTATCACAAAGCCTATTTTATAGGAAAGTGTGGAAGTTCTCCTACACCCAGAGAAGGGCGTTTTATAGACACGATGAAATGCGACCCAGAACCCAACTTCCGCAACACAGGCAGCGCGTGCTCTAGGTACCGGCCGTTTCCCGACGACGTGGGCTGGCTGGGAGCTGTGGCTCCTGCCCCCGCCGGGCCTCTCCAGAGGGTCACACTGCAGGTTCTAGTCCAGGAGAAGATCAGGGTCAAATCCGACGTACGGTTTCTACTGAATGCATATAGAGTCCAGAAACCTTAAGTAGGACCATCGTAAGTCAGGACCAGCCCATCCATCTAGCATCCATCTTCTAGGTATCTGCTATAATTTGGATCTGGAACTGTCCCCTGAAAAGCTCCTGGGTTGGAAGCATGGTCCCCAACGCAGAGGGGTGCAGAGCTGGGGCTTTTAGGCAGTGATGAGGGTTGTGACCTCAGGAGTGGATTGACCCATTTGATGGTTAGTGATCCGAGTGGGATTAGCAATGTAAATGGGCTGCTGTAGGCAGGAGGTGTGGCTGGAGTAGGGAGGGCATTCGGGGCCTTTGGGGATCATATCTTGTCCCTGGCTCCGCCTCTCTCTGCTTCCTGGCTACCATGAGCTGAGAGCCCTTTGAATGCGCCCCCAGTTTGCCGTGGCATGTGCGTTCCCACAGCCACGCCCTGCAACCCATTCAAAGCTATTCCCAGATAAAACTTGGCCGATTCTTTTCTCATTGGTGTTTCTCTCGGCCGCCTCTGAACCAGTGGATGTCATCTGCTCTTTCCCATTTTATTAGCTGTGCCGCTTGGGCCAGTTCCCTAACTTCTCTGAGTCCACCATCTTTCTGTGTTGAAAGGGAGTGAACTAGGGGGCGGTTCCTCCGCCGGTCCTGCAGCTGGAAATGCTGGAGGCTGGGAACTTAGAGCAGCGTCCTGGGGGCCCGGACGTCCAGGGTCAGGGCATCGGCTGGTCTGGTGTCTGGGGAGGGCCACGCTCTGCTTCATAGATGGCACCCATGCCGCGTCCTCACGTGGCAGAGGGGGGTGGACAACCTCTCTCTCACCTATTTTATAAGGGCACACGTTCCACCTGGTGGTGGCACCTGGTGGTGGCACCTGGTGACCTGATGGCCTCCTGAGGCCCCACCCCTTCATGCCATGGATGGCTGATTAGACTTCAGTGTGTGGTGACTGGAGGGACAACATGGCAGATGGGGGGACAGTGCCCGGCACAGGTAGGACTTGAAGAGGCAGCGGAGGGCAGGTCTGGCAGCCCCACAGCCTCAGCCGGCTCGGCCTCTCCTCCAGGCCCAGGACTGAGGGGGCCCGGCCCCACCTCTGCCCCCTTCCTCCCACCTCCGGTCCCGGCTCCTCCTGCCCCGCAAACCCGCACCCTTCAGTCTGTCCCGGGGCGTCCATCTGCGACGCGCCTGGGGTCCTGCTGGCTTATCTCTTATCAAAAGCCGCTCAGGGACGGGTTGTGGCTCCTCAGCCCCCAGTCCCCGCCGCCCCTGCTCCCAGCCTTGGGCACCCAGACAGAAGCCGGTGGGTGACGAGGGGGCTCCTCTGAGCAGTGAGAAAGGAGCTGTGTCCAGCTGGTGAGAAGCCAGGAGGGGCACAGAAGGTAGTGACCAAGGTGTCGGCCATGCTGGCGGGGACACTGGGGGGTGCTGGAGTTCAGTGCAACTTTCAGAGGAGCGTGCTGAGCGGAACAGCTCCAAGTGACCAGGTAGTGCAGGTGAGGGACACCAGGAGGCTGCAGTCTGCACTTAGTGACCTTGAGTGAGTCCCAAACACAAGGGCCTCTGCCTGGTGAAGGGTCCCAGCTCCCTGTGCGCCGGCCCAAGAGCCAGCAGGCCCAGGGGACACGTCCTGCCCGAGGGCTCACACGGTCTCTGGGAGGGTGCATGGGAATCACGTGTCACCCTTTTTCTTTCCACTAGCAGGAGTCAGTCGGGGGCTCTGACCCTGACCGTGGGCCCTGACCCTGACCGTGGGCCCCTGTCGGGGTGGTTTTCCCGAGATGAATGCGACTGAGCCTTTTGGACAGTCGGGGAGGACAGGTCCGGGCCCAGGGAGCAGCCTGGGGTGACAGATTGTGAGGGCCCAGGGGGAGGCTGGGGGAAGGCTGGTGGCCGAACCTGGGGCCAGGACGGCTGGGGTTCCTGGTGTGGACTGAGCAGCCGCCCAGGCGCCTCTAAGCAGGAGGACCCTGTGGCGGAATCTAGATTTTGGGAAGAGCCCTTGGCCCCACGCGGGGAGCAGAATGAGAAGGGTCGGGGTGCAGGAGACTGGCCAGGAGAGCCCGCTGCTCTGGAACACAGGGAGGAGCCGGGCCACCTCCACTCACGACGCTCCCAGGACACACACTTGTCCAACCTGAGTTCCCGCGAGCGGAGAAGCAGGAGGAGGAGGAGGAGGAGTAGGAGGTGCCCCTAGGAATGCGAGACCCGGGCCAGGTGGCTCCACAGAGTCACACTCCCCCCTGATTGGCCTGGACTCAGGTGGTGGCCGAGGATGAGAGGGACCAGAGGAGGGGGAGGGGACCAGAGGAGGGGGAGGGGAGGGGTTTCTTGTCCTGAGGGCCACGTCCTGACCATACCACTGGGCTGGGCTCCCTCTTGCCTCTCCCCTCTCTGTCCCAGCTGGGCACAGCTACAGTGACGAGTCGGTGTTCTCTGCCAAGCCGCACACTGAATTCCAGCTCTGCCCCTCCCCAGCTGCACGTCCCCAGAGAGCCCTGGTTTTCTGGCCTGTGAAGGTGGCTCAGGACGCTGCCTGTCCACAGGGTTCAGTAGGAGAAGGACCTGGGAGGCCGAGTGCACATGGGTGACCCTTTGGGACTCGCTGTGGTTTTAAGTCAGTTATCAGTTCTGGTCCCACGTCCCCTCCTGGCCTGGGCCTGCTTTCTCTGTCTGACCACTACTCTGGAAGGTGGCCCGTCCACGCCTGTCCCTCAGAACCCAGAGAAGGGGCTGGTGGCAGCCTGTGGTGGGAGAATGACACCCTGTCAGTCCCTCCTCCACTGGGACCTCCAGAGTAAACAGGGCAGGCCATCGTGGGAAGAGCAGGGCCATCGGCAGGACTGCCGTTGGCCCACCTGGAACCCCCGACTAATGATTTCCACAGGGACACCCCTCCTCCACTCTCGGGCCCTGAGCTCTCTGTGTGGCTGATCCCCTGGTCCAGAGTGGCCCAGTCAGTGTCCCTCTTCCGCACTCTGACAGATTCAGGGAGACACAGAGCCCCCGAGGTGACTTCTTGGGCCGGGGTCCTGGTCCCACCAATGGCTCGCTGAGGGATCTTGGGGTAACACTGAAATTCCCCGTGCCTCGGGTTCTCGTCTACACCGGGGTAGTGATGGTCTACACTCCATCGGGCTGTGGTGCAGACGGGATCCCGAGAGGGGCTCGGCACAGGTGAGTCCCAACGAGCATGAGCCCCCGCTCTAATGGGACTGAATTTGGGGCCTTCGGATGGGTAACTGGGGAGAGGGGGTCTTTTTCAGCTGTCCTCCTGCACCCGTGCCTTGAGTGGACGGGGTCACCTTGCGTCCTGGGGAGCCTCATGCGCGTAGGAGGTGGGGCCCTAGCTCTGTGGCGCCTCCTGCCGGAGTCTCTGGATCCTGTCATTCCTGAAGCTGAATTTCCTTTTTATTTTTTGGTTTAAGTGCCTCTGAGTTGGGTTTTTGTTACTTGGAACAAAAGGAGTTTAATGGGACCCTGTTAGGGTTGGGTCTGGAATGTTCGCGAAGGGCTCCTGTGTCGAAGGCTCAGTCCCCAGGGCAGCAGTGCCAGGCAGGGGTGTGGGCGGGGGGAGCCGTTGGGAAATGATTGGGTCAGGAGGGTGTGACCTCCTCAGTGGAGTCACAGCTGATGGCGTTAGGGGACACGGGAGAAGCTGAAGAAGGGGGGCCTTCTTGGAGGAACTAGGTCGCAGGAGGCTGCCCTGGAAGCGGGGATCTTGTCCCTGGTCTGCTCGCTCACACGTGTGTGCACGCACGCACACACACACTCTCTCTCTCTACACACACGCTCATCCTTCCCGGCCGCCATGAGCTGAGAACTTCCTCTGCCATGCTCCTCCGCCCAAAGTAAAGGAGCCACCACCGTCCAGGGCCCGAGACCTCTGAAACCATGAGCCAAAACAAGCCTTTCCTCCCTACGTTATTCTCTCAGGTATCTGTCACAGGGATGGAAGGTGAAGCCAGCGGCCGTCCACCCACCATCCGTCCACCCAGCCGTCCACAGACCCACATCCAGTCCCAGCACCCGCCCGGGTGGGGCCCCAGCGCATCACTTCCGGCTCCAAGACTCAGTCTCCGCACCTGTCCGTCACCTCCTCTGTGCAGTGGTCCCAAGGATTCAAAGGGACGACCCGCCTGGAGGGCCGTGCTGGGTACAAGGCTCAGGCGGTCCTCCCTTCGGTCACATCTTTTCCTGTGGTGTAGCCCCCCCACCCCCGCCCCGCCTAAGGGTCCCTGGAAAGCCAGTGCCCGCCAGGCTGGCCGTCCCATGCAGATGGAGTCCGATGGGTACGACCTTTATTGTTTCTCCAGCATTTTCCAGAAGAACGGTGTCATTTGAGAGCCACAGGGGGTGGGGGAGTAAAAAATAACATCAATAAACCCAACAGAAAATCCAGAGGGGACACAACGGCTGAGACGGGGTGTCGGGGGCAGAGGGGGAGGCCCCGGGCGGCAGCGCCTCTTAGCTTTCAGACACCAGAGTGGAGAATTCTGCAAAAGAAATGACAGAGGCCATGAGTCGGAGGCAGAGGATGCAGAGGGACTGTCCCCGAGGGACGCAGGGCACAGCTCCGTGCTTCCTCCAGGTTCGTGGATCTGCTGCGGATGTGGCGGAATGAGAGAGAGTGGGAATTAATGAACACGGTGAGCGGGACCCGTGGTCACATGACTGTCAGCTCCCATCGTGGCTCTGACTGTCCCTGAGGGTCCACTGAGTGCAGCCGTTGTCCTCAACACTCCACATCCAGCATCCCTCTTGACCCTGACCATCACCTCATCACTGATTATCACGCTCATTCTACAGATGAGGAGACCGAGGCTCTGCAGTCAGCCATCTTTCTGGACTTTTCTTCTGTTTCTCCCCCCAGGAGACGAGCGAGGATACGGTCTTGCCACCGCATGTCACTGAGCGACTCTGGGACGCCACATCTCTGGCCTGCCTGGGAGGGTGGGGTCCTGGTCAGTCCTCGATGCCTGTGTAAATGCAGCGTGGTGATGTGGGGAGGGCCCGGGCTGGGGTCAAGGGCCAGGGCTTCCAGGCAGGCCTGGCCATATGCTGGACAATGGGCTCCCAGGGTTCAGATCTCTCACACACCCATGGACAGAAGGGAGGGGCTGTGATGGCTTCAGAAAGGCCACAAAAAGTGCCTGGGTCCCCCTTGAGGCCAGCTGTCCTGCCAGGACTTGGTGCAGAACATGTAGATAAAACCCAGCGATGCGGCTCCGTGGGGTTGACGTGAACCGTGGTGATACAAGGTGCTAGCCTGGGGGGCTGGGAGGAGGGTGCACAAGACCCTGCATGACCCCCGAAATTCTTCGGTATTCCTAAAATTATTCCTAAGTAAAAACAAAAACAAGGACAACCAGACCCACATGCCATATCCTGGCTATAGCCTGGCACTGACTCTGGCCGGCTGAGGGGACACCACACCCTCCTGTCCCTAGACTGTCCCAGGACAGGAAAGGTGGGTGACCTGGGCGTGGGGTCTGGGCAGGGATTCAAGCGGGTGGAGAGCGAGGGTCCTCCCTCTCAGAGTCCTGAAGGCTCAAGGCTCTCCCACTGAGTGGTACCTGGGAAACAGCCCCAGGACCAACGACCCCCCCGCGGGGCCCTCTTCTCAGCCACAGTCCCCTGTGAGCCTTCAGGACGGGGTGGAGGAGGGCCGGGGGCTCTTCCAGGAAGTCCAGCTTTACAGTTAGTAGCTGGCATTTGTCGAGTGCCAACCTCTGAATCCTACGACTACCTCCGGGGAGACTCACCTTGGCCTGCGTTTTACAGCTGGGGAAACTGAGGCCCAAGAGTTAAGTCGCCTGACCAAGGTCACAGAGCAGATGGGATTCATGCTACAGTCGGTCTTAGCCTCCTTCTCTATGCTGGAGTTTCTGACCTACTTTGACCTAGTATAGAGTGACACATGTCCCAGATCAAATGTCACCACCCCCATGGGTCTGTCACAGTAGCCCTTTTTTATTTACTTCACGGTACTTAGCACACTCTGAAATGATCTTATTTATGTACTTATTTTTGTTGGTCTCCTCTCTTTAGAAGGCAAACTCTGAGGGGCGGGGAGCCCATCTCTCTCTGGTTCAGCCTCCCAGCAGCTAGAACGTCCTCACACACAGCAGGTGCTAATAAGTGAATGCTGGATGGGTGGGTGGATGGATGGATGGATGGATGGATGTGTGGATAGATAGATGGGTGGGTGGATGGGTGGATGGATGGACAGATGGATGAATGGATGGATGAATATAAGGATGGATGAATAGATGGATGGATGGATGGGTGGTTGGGTGGATGGGTGGATGGATAGATGGATGGGTGAATGGATGGATGGATGGATAGATGGATTGATGGATAGGTGGATGGGTGCATGGATGGATGGGATGGCTTATGAGTCCTTAAGTTTCAACAACCACTGTTTAACTGCACTGAATTCTCACAAAAGCTCTGTGAGATGATTCCCATTTTACAGATGGGGAAATGGGGCTGGAGAGGGGAGGTGTCAGAGTTATGCGGAGAATAAGACACAGAGCTGCAGTCTGTCTTCTGGCCTCAGGAGCTGAGTGTGAGGGCTGCTCCTGGCTGGGCTGGTGGCCCGTGGAAGCGAGAGTCCTCTCCAGCTTCATGGGCCTTCCCTGTCCCAGGCCACTGAGATGCTCTGCCTTGAGGTACAGGAGGCACAAACCTGTCACCAACACTGCTCCTGGAGACCGTCGAGAGGGGAGGCTGGGTCTGACTCTTCATGCTGGAAACTGGGGGCTCCCTGGCTCCTCAGCAGCACACTGTCTTCACCCCCACACTAGAGGGGACCTGGTGCGGTTGGTGTGGGAGGACCCAGGGTGTCAATGAGGGTCTCCTGGGATAAAAGCTGGGCATTTGGAGCCTCACTTTGGGAAATATTCGGAATATTTTGTAGCTTTTAAAAGCCTCTTAATCGGCCCTTTGCCCACCCTGATGCAGCCAGGAGGTCACGACGGCCACGTCTGGCTGGACGTGCAGGAAACACTGGATTCTAATTTTATCCCCACAGAACCTTGAACAGGGCACTTGCAGACACATTGAGGGCAGGAGCCACCTCTTTGGTACGTTCCTGTCTGCCCGGGGGCAGAGCCCTTAGCACCCGGCCAGTCAGCCCCAGCCTTCCTAGCACCCCCCAACCCTCCAAAAAAAAAAAAAAAGCCCAGTTCTCAAATGAGCAAGTGCACAAAGACTATGGGAAGCCCAGGCCAGCAGAGCCGGCAGCTGCACCCTGGGACGGGATGGCATGCTGCAGGACGGGTTCCAGTGTGGGTCCGCCATCTGCTAGTCCCTGGACGAGGTGCCTCGCCCTTCCCGGTCGGGTTCTCTCATCTCACACGTGATCTTCTACTCTTACTGGGTTGGGGTAAGTGGGCTGGGGTCCACTCCCAGCTCCTGTTTGTTGCTCTGTGACCTTTGACTAGGTCACACATTGTGCCTCGGTTTCCTCGTCTGTACCATGGTGCTCAGGGGAATTCCTACTTCCCGGGGCTGCTCCCAGGATCTAGCTAGAGCTCCTAGTCAGGGCCAGGGCACAGCACACACCTGTGGCCACTGTGATCAGGATTCTCTGTACCTCAAGCCACTTTGACACCAAGCCGTTGCAGAGAGGAGACCTCAAGCCTTTGTCAGCATGGCTGTCGCTCTTGCCGCTATTGGAATCCACCATCCCTCTCATTCCCCATCTCCGTTCCTCATCCCCATCTCTGAAGCTGTCTTGTCCATCACTGCCTGGCTGGGTGGCCATGGGTCACCACTTTACCCCTCTGAGCCTCAGTATTCTCATCTGTAAGGAGGGTACAGGCTACTTACACAGCTATTGGGGAAAACAGATGATAAAATACAGAAAGATGCCTGGCACACAGTAGGCGGCTTATATGTGCTAACTCCACCCCCCCTGGATCCCCTCAGCACAATCCACATGGGTTGGTAACTCTGAAATGACAACCACCACAAAGCCCCTGAATCTAAGGAGGACAAGGAGGACCTAAACAGAGGACCCAGGGACTACACAGCAGCCAGCTGCCCTGAACAAGTTTCCACAGGATCAATTCCATGTGAGTTAGATTCCCGCCTCCAGCACACCCCTCTGTGGACAGTCAGCCTCTGGCCCTCGGTTTCCTCATCTGTACAATGGGGATCCTGAGACCCTCTCCTCACAGGTGATGTGAGGACCACAGGAAATGATGGAGGCATCTGGCGCAGGTGGGGCAGGCACAGTGTGACTGCCATAAAGTCAATGCTGATTGCTGAGGTATGAGGGAAATGAGCCCTCGGAGGGATCCAGATGCTCTTCCCCTTGTAGGATGCACAAGCACAGCCCTACCTTTGCAGCCTGAGGCTGCCCCCAGCATCCTCTAGGGCTGGCTTGCTGAGGTCTGCCTCGCCCAATCAGAGAGAGGCAGAGAAGGCAGGGATGGGCGGGAGGGGGGCAGCGGACGGAGGATGGGCAGATTCTGTTCTTTACTCTCCCTTAGGAAACTGCAATTAGCCTAATTAGGTCTGCCCCAGTCCTGGGTGCTGCGGACACTGGACAAATTTAGAAGCTATTGACAGGTGGGAGGGCATATGCTGATAGCCCCAAGTGAAACTGAGACTCATTGAGTCAGCGTCTGGAAGGCTGTTTCCCTCCCTCTGTCGTGATGACCAGGATGAAGGGACCAGCCTCCTGGTTTATCACCTCGCCTCTAAATAGCTCCCCGGCTCGGTTTCTTATACATTGGTATTGCAAACAGAGATCACTTTCCCACCCTGCAGAACTGGGAGGCAGGGTCATTTGGGGTCAAGCCAGACAGCCATAGGGAGGCATCATAAAGTGTTCTGGGGGCGCCCTTGGTGCCAGGGGCTGCCCCATGTGCGAGCCCAGTTCATCCTCTCGGGCCCCGTTACCCCCATTCTACTTACAGGGAAACTGAGGCTGAGCCACCCAGCCAGGAGGCTTCTAGCTCCGGCGTGGCTCGTGCCCGGCTGCATCTCTTTCTCAAGAGTCTGACGGCCCTGCGTCCCCACTGCAGCCCTCAGACCGAAGGAGCGGGATGAATGGGGCGGGACCATCTTCTCGCCCTGACGGCCGCCCCATTTTCCAGGAGGCCAGTTACATAAGCAGCCTCCTCCTGTCCCTGCTCCGTCTTATCTAGTTCAGCATAAGGCCCGAGCCAGCGCGAGTGCACCCGGGAATAGGAGAGCAGATTGCTAAGCGCCGGAGCCATTTATAACTCCAAAGTCTCAGCTCAGCTTGGGCCAGGAGGGAGGCGGAGTCAGGAGACCCAGGTCCCATTCGGTCAAGGATTTTGCCGGGTGACTTTGGCACTCTATGTCCACCGGGCCTCAGTTTTCACATCTCTCAGTCTCTGTCCCCTAGACCTCCTGGGGCTGCTGGGATGGCAGGAGGAGATGCCACCAAATGCCGGCCGCCCCCGGGGCCCTGCCAGTGTGTACATCCTGCCCTGCTTGGGGATCCAATCCCGGAAGG